CTGGACGTAGCCTTCAGATTGAAGGTGAACCAGTATACATCTTGGTGTGATCTTCTCTTCCTTAACTTTTTACATTTTGCATTATCTTCTACTTTTACTCAACTATTTTTGTTTAATACTTCCGCTCATAAACACTTTCTTTAACTTGCAAAGTTTTATAATAAAAGTAGAAAAATTCAGTTTAAGTCTCTACACCTAATTCACCCCCCTCTTAGGTGGCCATATATCCTAACAGATTTTATTCACTTCTGCATCTTTACTTTCTCTACTGTTTCTGCAATCTTTCTGTCTTTCCATTTATTTCTTTTGATATCATGAGGCAAGTAGTTTTAAGATCTTCCATTATAAATCTTCAACACCCATCAGCCATTAAATGTTCAATCATTATGACAATGGGGAATTAATGGCACTACTTATGAATAGTAGAAAATCAAGTTGAAGGTAACAGAAGTCAACGATATTTATTTCAAGAACAAGTTCTAACAAAGTTTCAACAACTATAATAACTATTATATTGAATGTATCATTTATAAATAGTCTTAATATTAAAGAATAAATCTTACGACACCAGAGAATACAAGAGAACAAAATGAAATATATTTGAAGCTCTCATTTATTAAGAATTTTTTTTTTATAACTAAATTTAATATTTTTGTTCAATCATTTATTATTAAATACACAATCTTTCTCTTTCATATTCTTCCACCCTATGAATATGATTGAAATACTTGCAAAGTTGCAAATTATTGTTAACACAAACCGTTGTTTGGTGCTGAACTTGGAGAGGCTAGGTGTGCAAATAAAACTGTAGTTGTTAAGCTTGGATAGGATAAGTATAAAAATAATACTTACTGGAATTAGTGTTGGATTATAGTAGAATCATGATGCTAACAAGAAACTAGAGATAGATTTCGATATTGGATCAACCAATGTAAAACTTATACATTTTCTTTCTAATTGTTAAAATGTAATTTAAAAATAGAAATTCAGTTAGTTAGTTTTCTGTTTCTATAATTGATAGACTTCTATAAATAGAACTTAGTTGTAAACTTGAACTTACACTTGATGATTAATGCAAATTCCCTTATCTCTTTCTATGTGCCAATAACTCATCTTCTACATCCTCTTCACTTTTGTTCTTCATCTTCTTCTCCTCTCTCTTTCATTCTCATTCTTTATCACAACAAGGAACATAGTGTTCCAACAATCTGGTATCAAGAGCAAGGTTTCTAAACAGATTTTCAATGGGGCAAACCGGCTTCTCTGCATATCTGCCAATTCTTGATGGAAAGAACTAGAATTGTTGGAAGATAAAAATGAAAGCCATCATGGGATTCAAAGAAGTAAGTGAAATCGTGGAAGAAGGTTTTTCAGAGCTAACAGATGTGGCAACAAAGACACAAAGATTGCAATACAAAGAAAGCAAAAAGAAAGATTGCAAAACTATGTTCTTGTTGCATCAATGTGTTGATGAAGCACATTTTGAGAAGATTTCTAAGACTAAATCAACAAAGGAAGCTTGGGAGATTCTTGAGAAAAGTAATGCAGGAGCTAAACAGATGAAGAAGGTGAGATTGCAAACTATGAGAAGGCAATACTAGTTGATGCAGATGGAACCAAGTGAAAGGATTGCACAATTCTTTAATCGTGTAACTAGTCACACAAATGCCATGAAAGCAAGTAAGGAGAAGATGGCAGATCAAGTAATCGTGGAAAAAATTCTGAGAACTCTTAACCCCAAATTCGATCATATAGTGGTGGCAATTGAAGAGTCCAAGTGGATTGAAGAGTTAAAGATTGTGGATCTTCAAGGCTCTCTTGAAGCTCATGAAGAAAGAATCTTGGAGAGGTCTATAGAGAAACCTGTTGAACGAGCATTACATGCATACTCATCAAGAAGATGTGGCTATGGCAATGGCAACAGAGATGGACATAGAAGTAGAGGGAGGGGTATAGAGCAAACCAAGAAGAATTTCAGGTTCTCTCAATTCTTAGATCAAGAAATATCAAAATTTGATCAACCAGAACAATCATCAAGAAGATGAGGACATCAAAGATGGCAAGGGACCACAGAAAGGATTGACAAGAAGAAGCTGAAATGCTTCAACTGTTACAAGATTGGACATTTCAACAGTGAATGTCAAGCCAATCCACAACACAAAGAGCAACATAGTAGACATCGCAATGAGGCTCACTTAGCCAAGAAAGAGAGATCTGAAAGCTTGGATGGTGAACCAATGTTGCTAATGATGACCACCAATCATGAGTCAAGCAGTGATGACAAATGGTACATCGACTCAGGCTGCTCAAACCACATGACTGGAAATAGAAATTGATTGGTAAACTTTGATGAAAGCAGGAATAGTAGTGATAGATTTGCAGACAGCGGAATTATCCAAGTAGAAAGGACTGGTGATGTTTTAATCAGCAAGAAGGATGGGAGTAATTCAACATTAACTGGTGTACACTATGTTCCTAGCATGAAGAGCAATCTGCTAAGCTTGGGGCAATTTTTAGAAAAAGGATTCTCAGTGCAAATGCATCAAAATGTCTTGGAGATATTTGATGCATCAAACAAGAAGATTTTGAAGGTTCCTCTGGCACAAAACAAAAACTTTCAGATCAGCCTAAAGATAGTTGAGAATCAATGTCTATTAGCCATATCCTTATCAGAAGACTCATGGCTATGGCACTTAAGATTTGGCCACTTGAATTTCAGAGACTTAGGCTCGTTGGGATCAAAAGACATGGTTAGTGGACTACCCTCAATCCAGTCTCCTAACAAAATTTGCGACCATTGTCAAATCTGCAAGCAACCAAGGTCCTCTTTTAGTGCATACACACCTTCTAGGGTCAAGGATGTACTACATGTGATATACTATGATGTGTATGGTCATCTTGACACCATTCATTAGGAGGAAGCAAGTATTTTGTCACTTTTGTGGATGAGCTAAGCAGAAAGCTATGGTTGTACTTAATAAAGGCCAATAGTGATGTATTCTTTGTGTTTAAGATGTTTAAGACACTGGTTGAAAAGCAGTCAAAGAAGTGCATCAAGATCCTTAGAACTGATGGTGGAGGAGAATTCACTTCAAAAGAATTTGAAGAATTCTGCAAAGAACAAGGGATCGTGTGTAAGGACCCGATTTTTGTAATCCAAAAATTCTTTTCAAAAATCTTGTTCATGAAAGTGAAGTGATTGCTTTTGAAAGACATTACTTGAACGTTTTGGAAACTTGAATGAATACAAATATTAGTTCCATTTATATCTCACGAGGCGGAAATATTCCAAACACAACTCGCTTCATAAGCATGTCATTACACTTCCTTTCAATACATAATCTAAACAATTATCCGTTCTTAAGGAATACTTTTAATAAAAACATTAAATCATCTTCATTATACATTTAGGAGCAAGTTACCTATACATAAATTCACTTTAACATGTTCTTCATATTACAACCATTTATCATATAACGTATCGGTCACATAAAACCCTACTCTACCATGTACTCTTCTCCACAATCATCCGATGCGCTACCGCCACAACCTGAACTCAAATACACAACACATACAAGGAAAGACAGAGGGAGTAAGAATCAACTACGGCGACCGTAGCGTGGATTTACATGGAGTAATAACATTAAAGTATTAAAAACATACACATCTAACATCAATCATATTAAACATATACAAATCAACACATATTATCTGTGAACACTCAATTTTGTCCGGCCTATATTCCAAAAAAGTAATAATAAAAAAGGTCTTGAAAATAACAGTTTATCTTGAAAAAACCAATTATTTCTCTTGAAGAATAAAACATGAAGTAATGCCTTGATTGAAAGTGTTAAAATTTTATTCAACTTGACTTATAGTAGCATCAGTATTGTATTGGTTATCTTATTAGTCAAAATTCAGCTCCAAACTTTCATTAAGGTGCTACTTAGTTAAAAAAATCATTTAAAATTTTATAGCAATTACGGTATGATGCCAATATAGCGGTCAGCATAATTGCAATTGTAGTCGTATTATATGATGCAGTCGGCAATTTAAAATCATTGTTAAAATTAAACTCAGTGGACAAATATGTATGGTCTTTTTACTCTTGTGCTGCAGTTCTCTATCAGCATCTAATTTACTTGATCGGGACATTGCATCAAAGAGTGATCCAATGGTTGTTGTGTATTCAAAGAAAAAAGATGGAATAGTAGAAGAGTTAGGTAGAACTGAAGTTATACTGAACTATTTGAATCCACAGTGGATACAGAAAATTAATGTTACATTTCAGTTTGAGATTGTGCAACAACTAGAATTTCATGTGTATGATGTTGATACACAATATCATTGCATTCCCACTAAGGCACTAAAACTGAGAGATCAAGATTTTCTTGGAATGGCCAATTGCACTTTATCAGAGATTGTGACTAAACAAAGCCAGAGGTTAACCTTAAAGCTCCAAAGCAAAAATGGGTATAATGGGTCAAGAAACTTAGGGACACTTAATGTTCATGCTGAGAAGACAATTTCTTCAAGAAATGCTGTTGAGATGATATTTAGTTGCACTACCTTGGATAACAAGGACATTTTTTCTAAAACTGATCCTTTTATCAGAATATCAAGAATTGTTGAGAGTGGAGGTTCAGTTCCTATTTGCAAGACTGAAGTTATTGACAACAATTTAAATCCAACATGGAAACCACTTCGCCTTAGCTCCAAGCAGTTTGGAAGTAAAGAAAATCCACTGATTATTGAGTGTTTTGATTTCAATAGCAATGGAAATCATGTACTTGTTGGAGATGCTGCATGGGATTGGCATGGCACCAACCAAGTCTTCACCAATAGCCTCACATGCCTTGTCCAAAGTAGAACCCACCTGAACTTACAAAAGAAAATGTGCTCTTTAGCCGGAAGACACAGAATGTATTTAAATAGTCGAATAAAGTGCACAACCTATAAATTCCGGCAACGACCTCAAATCAACTAGGCCAAAAAGAGCATCATTCAACTTCCCTTCCCTGCAAACAATGATACTTGTTAGACTATAATAAAAGGAAATCAAGAGAAAGGAAAGCGACGGAGAAAGATTGAACAAGATGGGTCCTGCACCTAACATTGGAGTTGATCATACACCCGTAAAGGAAGATTTGAAGCTAATTAATCTCTCTAAACCAACCAAGGGGCAGCAGTGAACACAATTCTGAAAAATGTCAAAATCAATAGTTTTCAGTTACAATCAGAATCATTAAGCGGCATTGGTAGATAATCTTGAATGCAAAAATCAGAAACAACAAGCATTAAGATGTCAATTATGAGCAGGCTACAAATCAGAGTAATCAAGACATTAAAGAGGTGGTCACAAGGGGTCATGGCTGTTATGAGTAGGCTGCAAATCAAACTCTGAAATTACTATCCTATTTCAGTTGCAAATTGCAATGATGGAGAGCCTTTAACGCATTAAAACAGAATTCATTTCCCCTACAGTTACACATTCATACAGTCAGAAAGATAACAATTGGCAACTCAAAGGGATTTTAGAAGTTAGCTGAAGAAACTCATATGGAATATAAAGGACCAAAGCAATCAGAGAGCAAAAGAGACACACACATTGACATTTACCAACAACCAGAGCTTCCAGAGAACTCTTATCTTCCTCACACAGCCATTACTCACATATCGCGAATCAGAAAAAAACACAAAACAATCCAAAGAAACCATACTCACAACTATCTACCTTGATATCCCACATATCACACATCATATCCAATAATCCAGGAACAATAGACAGACATTACACAAAAGGGTCATACATATTGAAAAAAACAACCAAAAAGAGAGGGTTAACCTCCAAAAGGGCTAAAGGTATACATTCAGGACGAATCAAAGCAAGCGAAGAGGGACTTCCAGTCAGATTAAAGTCAGACAGAGGTGAATCGTGCATTTGAAAGGTAAATCATTGGTAAGGCAGTCACATAGCCATATATAAAAAAAAACCTACACAGAAGTATGTTTACAAATCGTGCATCATCTTTCGGTTTTGATTTCTAACTTTTAACTAAAAAATAAAAAGTAGATAGGTAAAACAGAGGGTTGAGAGATCACTCCTTACTCAAATAGGGGTTCTGTGTAGAACCTACGTCGACACCCTTCGAATTATTACCCCCAATGGCGGTTCTGGATGGAAAAGGGTGGCTATGGTGAGGCAATATCATTTTCACGGTTTAGGGAAGAAAAATAAAAAAGAGAACAATGGAGAATAAGGTTAGGCATACCTTTCGAAGCATAAACCGAGATAGAAGAAAACCGAATGGAGAAGAGGAGCCACCACCGTGGATGGCGGCTCATTGAAAGGAGGACGACCTTACCCCTTACCAGTCACCGCAAACCGCCTCCGCCACTGTCGGAGGAAAACGGGAGAGGAACCGCGATTTGCTCCTCGGCTCCGTCTTCTCACATTCGCCGCCTCCATTCTCTCGTCTTCTCACTTCTCCTCTCCCATGCCATCCAAGTCCCAGAAGTCAAAATGACAAACCTAAATCTAACCCCTCCCCCTTCAATCCGTTTTCTTAGCTGGGCCTAACCCGAGCCCAGTAAATTTTTTGTTTTTATTTGTTTGTTCTGTTTATGTATTCCTTTGTATTATTTATTTGTTTTTTTATTATACCAAATGAGTAATCTTATTTAATCAAAGAGGTTCTATTAAATTCTAATAATTATATGTTATCAGACAAATCAGTTTGTAGCACAATAATATGTTTTAAAACTATTTCAAATCTCTTTAAGATATGATGCGGCGCGGGCATTAGTCTTGCTACTTCATCTATCTTAAAGGTGAATAATTTTAATAACATAATTTTAAACTATTTCGAATCTCTTTAAGATATGATGCGGCGCGGGCATTAGTCTTGCTACTTCATCTATCTTAAGGGTGAATAATTTTAATAACATATTTTTAAACTATTTCGAATCTCTTTAAGATATGATGCGGCGCGGGCATTAGTCTTGCTACTTCATCTATCTTAAAGGTGAATAATTTTAATAACATATTTTTAAACTATTTCGAATCTCTTTAAGATATGATGCGGCGCGGGCATTAGTCTTGCTACTTCATCTATCTTAAGGGTGAATAATTTTAATAACATATTTTTAAACTATTTCAAATCTCTTTAAGATATGATGCGGCGCGGACATTAGTCTTGCTACTTCATCTATCTTAAAGGTGAATAATTTTAATAACATATTTTTAAACTATTTCAAATCTCTTTAAGATATGATGCGGCGCGGGCATTAGTCTTGCTACTTCATCTATCTTAAAGGTGAATAATTTTAAAAACTATTTCAAATCTCTTTAAGATATGATGCGGCGCGGGCATTAGTCTTGCTACTTCATCTACCTTAAAGGTGAATAAATTTCAATAATATATTTTAAACCACTTCAAAATATTCCTTGAGATTTGATGCGGCGCGGGCATTAGTCTTGCTACTTCATCTATCTTAAAAATAAATAAATTTCAAACAATTCATTTCAATTATTTCAAAAAAATAATATATATCTTAAAGATAAATAAATTTCAACACAGTAGTTTAATTACTTTCAAAATCTCTTTAAGATTTGATATAGTGCGGACATTAGTTTTTGCTGCTTCATCTTTTCTTAAAGAGAATACAATTTACATCAACTTTTCAAACAAACTAAACCAACACCAATTAATTTTCAAACCAGAACTACGTAGCCTTGATTTCCCTTTTGCACCTAGGGATACGTAGGAGCAAGATGAACTCTTGTCAGGCACAACAATAAAAAATAAAAATATTTCGCTTTAAGTAATTCAATTTTAATAGATTATTTTAAGGGTATAAAAGTCCATGTTATTAGCGAGGTACCGTTTTAATACGGGCGGACGGGGTGCTAGTACCTTCCCCGATCCGTAATCGACTCCCGAGCTCAGAATCTCTGATTAAAGACCAAATTATCCTAATTGGGCATGTTTAGAGTTTTCTACGTTTTAACCGCAAAAAACGTAGTGGCGACTCCAAAATAATTGGAAGAGGTAGAAATCGAGTTCGCCTCTCCCAAAGTCGCAGGGCCGGTCTTCCAACCGAAAATCGGGTCGCGACAGCTGGCGACTCTGCTGGGGACAACCCATAAAAGAGTCAGGCCCAGATCCGCTAATTACATGGACTAGAATACCCTTTTTTTTCCTCTTCTTTTTTTGGTCTTATTTTTTAGAATAATATGTTGTTATATGTTTTACTTTCAATTTAATTATCCATGAGCTTGTATTTAACCTTCTTTGCAGCTTTGAGATGAGAGTTATTTCTTTGTACGAAAGGTTTGTCGCTTCCTCACACACCAACACGGTTCACTTGAGTTTTGCACACACATATGCCCTAGACCCGGGTGTTAGAGAGTAAGTTTGCAATAAGGGGAACATCCGCTCTGCCTGGTGTTAGATTCTATCTCACTGCATTAGCATGATGGACCACCCAGATTGTTACCAAATGTTGTGAGTTATACGCTTGAGGGGTTAGACTTCTCCTGTTTATAACCTGCAATATTTTGGGTTTCCTTTCTTTCGGGATTGGATGCAATCTGGTAACCTAGAAGTCTAAAACTTCTTTTCTCGAGTTCACTTTAATGAAATCTAGTTCCTCGCTCTAGGGTTGTCATCTCTAGAAATTCCGAAAACCCTGTAGGAATTACCAACGTAAGACACGGGAAGCGGAACATTTATTATTGTTTCATATTTCGAAATTAATCATCTTTAATTTAGAAAAGCATACCATTCATGTATAAGCGACACAAAGATCTCTTCACACTTTGATGTCCTCATCATCCCAAATAAGGTTACGACCTAAGGGACATTCATCATGCATATCATTCATACATATCGTCCAAACGTTTAACATTTTCATGTTTTTTATTATTATATTTTTTCAGGTTACTTGATTCAGAGAGGTTATTGGTATAGTAAGACACGATGACTAGTTCTCAAGTTACAGATCATAACAATACTCCAACCATGAAAAACAAAGTGAAGTTTGAGTTGCAAATGATTGATGTGAGTTATTTGGTGGAGCTTGTCCCCAAGATTCCGAAGGAAGTCAAAGATCAGTTTGCAAAAGAGTATGGAAAATTGTTAGACCTTATCCTCGTCCCCATCGATGCTGATGCCTTAAGAGTTATGGGAGCAATGGCAAAATATTGGAACCCAATCTTGCGAATTTTCGAGTTCCCAAATGTAGATGCCTCTCCCACTATCGAGGAATATGAAGTCCTTCTAGACATTCCTTTGTCCAACCGATTGAGAGTATACTTATTCACAGGCACCCAAGATGCAAATGAAGATATCATCAAAGAGCTAATAGGTGTGGCCCCGACACCCTCCAATATAATCAAGCAAGGACCCTATTATGGATTAAAGTGGAGTTTCTTGAGAAAACATCTCGATCAGGTAGTGAAACAGGGAGATTGGGAAATGTTTAAGCCAGCACTAGCATTAGCCATATACGGTAAAACTCTGTTCCCTTTTGTTAATGATATGGTGGATCAGGATGCCATTGATGTTCTGCATAAGTTCAGAAAGTTTGGAGTGAATCCAGTCCCAGCCATATTATCGGATACTCTCCTTGCATTTCAGAAAAGCCATGAAAAGAGTATTCCCAAGATCCGATGTTGTGTACAACTGCTATATGTGTGGATGATGACCATGTTCAAGCATCACCAATACCCAGATTGGAGCCAAAACCCACTTCGCAGGTTCCGGAATACCTTTGTCAAACCAATGATGTTGTCTGAATGGGAAAAGTTGTTTAGGGAGGTTACCCCTAAGAACTTCGGTACTAAATGCAACATGTATGATAAACATGATATGATAATGTACTCATGTGGGGATTACTCCAACATGATCCTAATGGGTCCTAGGGGATGCCTTACTTTCACTCCTGCTTTAGTACTTGGCCAAATGAAGTGGGGTATGACCCCAGTCCGTGAAGAACAGTTACAAGGGTTTGTGATATGGTACAAAGACAGGGAAGCGACTGACAAAACATTAGATGCAGTGAGGTATTCATTGAAGCGCATTCATATATCCGGGATACATGAGTTGGGGGAGCGCAAGGCTTTCTATACTGATGAATACAAATATTGGCGGAATGAGAGGAGGAAAGGAAAAACAATCCCTGATGCTGACATTCCACCAAAACCGGCCGGTCCATCTGAAACTGAACTATTACTGACCGGGCAGATCAAAGTGTTAGGAGCCAAGCTGGAAGAGACTCGGGATCAGAAAGAAAAGCATGAGCTGACTATCGAGAAACTCTACAAGATTATAGATGCTCAGAAAAAAGAAGAAATCAGTC